TCGAGTAGGTCTCAGTTTAGGCTCCCAGCCGCTGGAAGTGACCTGTGATTAACCCAGCAGTACTGATCTTGCGCATACATGAAGATGACAGGGAAAATCGGGAATGGTACAACACTTAGTCGCATCTTGTACCAGCAGGAGTACTGACTTGAAGGTTGCCCAGATGGCCGTGTCATTTCTATGCTTCAAAGGACTGAACAGACAGGTCCCATAGACAGATAAGAGCCAATTATGCCACGGGATAGTGTTGCCATGGAGGAGCATGCTGGAAAATTGCAGAGGACAGCGGTGCTATGAGCAAGCAGATCTCGGAATCCTAATTCCCCAGATTCTTTAGGTGTGATAACATATTCCCAGGTGATAACACTGTCGGCCGTGAGTTCTCTTCTTGTTCTACCAGAGAAAGGAGCGTCTTAATTTGTTGACCTTGCTGATGTTTTCGTCTGTAGTAACTTGGGATTGCTGAAAGAGTGCATTGATCATCATGGCATCATCCATCCAGCTAGTCTCTTATCAATCTTCTGTATCACTGGTTGGAGAAGATGTCGCGGCCTGCGGAGTCTTGCTTATATAGTGGGAGGCCAGGATAAGTGCAAGGCAGTGAGCTGATGGGGCACTCTAAAACACTTGCAATTTCAGCAGCCTCCTCACTGTTGATATGAATAATAAGGTGCTCTTATGACAATTAGTACTGAGACCAGAAAAGTCCAAGAAGGCCTGCAGGATTTGCTTAACCCTTCTAGCCTGATCAACCGAACCGTGTGGCAGTAGGACTGTGTCATCAGCTTACTGTGTAAACTGAAAGTGGGCCATTGCCGCTAGCCCGTTACTGCTATGGAACGGGTGCCTGAGGTAGTCATCCTCTGAAGGACACTGCCGGCCAGAATAAAAAAGGTAGGGCCACAGGGAATCACGCTGTCTAACCCCTCCAAGAAGGAAATGGGTTCACCTGCCATACCGCTGATAAGGACCTGAGCCTGCCCTGACTGTAACATACACTGACCCCATTTGATCCAATCCGTAGGGAAATTCCGGTGCTGCATAGCTGGAAGAGGCAATCCCAAAGCACTGTGTCAAACGCCTTTTGAAAGTCCAGTTTTAGCAGTCATTGGTTTCCTCTTTATCTGCAGACCGCACTAATTCAGAAGCCAGAACAAAGTTCTCAACAATTGAGCAGCCCTTATAAACCATGATTGAATCATATCAATGAGGACCCAAATCAGAAGCTGGAGTCTGTTTGTCATGACTTGTGTTTCATCAGGCTGTGCACTAAAGAAATCGGTCTCAGGAAACATTCAATCTTTGGTGTGAAAACAATGAAGGATCTGTTGACGTCGGCCTGTTCTTGCTCGGCCCGCCTGCTGCTCGCCGGCCACCATCGTCCCCGTAGATGGCCTGCTCTTGCTCGGCCCCAGCCGCTCCTGCTGCTCGCCGGCCACCATCGTCCCCGTAGATGGCCTGCTCTTACTCGGCCCCAGCCGCTCCTGCTGCTCGCCGGCCACCATCGTCCCCGTAGATGGCCTGCTCTTGCTCGGCCCCAGCCGCTC